TTCGTTAACAGACGTGCCTCCCCAGGGATCGCCGCAAGGAGGTATCACCTCCTTCAAAGTTTCGTTTTGTTGACGTTGATGTACAACCTGAAAAATGGAGATGACGCATCAGTTTTCTATGGATAACTAATCAACAGAGTCAAAATGAAGCGGACTTAAGTTTTTATTTTTTATAAATTAGAAATAAATACTGTAAGGTACTTTTATTCGTTGGTTGCAATTTTTGTGGTTTTAACAAAAGTTATTAGTTCTAGGACGTTAGTTTTCTGAAGAAAAAAATCGAATAAAGAATTTGACGCCATCAGCAACAAAAATCTTGAAAATAATCATATGCTGTTTATAATGATTTGTGGGTCATTGCAAAATGTTGTGTTCATTTTCACTAAATTGTTTTTCTTTCATTTCTGACAACATTCATCAACATTCTTTATTTTTGAATAAAACAATTGCTTTCGGTAATAAGCTGAATCATCTATGCTTACAAATTGATGCACACATGTTATCAGAATGATGACACTATTTAACCCGAGATCGAATGCTCAAAAGATTAACGATCATCAAGGATGTTATTTAGGCCATACACCATCACTTAAAGAAAACGGCTACATAGAATAAATACTACAAATATTCTTTGAATTGAATTGTAGAATAAGTTCTTGTGAAATAAACAAAACAAAATGTTTTTTTTTATTAGAATCAAAAGTCTTATAGTTTAGGTTTTTAAAAGATAAAATGAGTAAAATCTTGTCTGAAGTTGTATGATTCATATAGTTTGCTGATATTCGATTTATTTTCTAGATTATATATCTGTATCCATGCAGTCAAATCTACTTTGGGATCTTTCCATATCTTGATTTGGACATCAGTTGTTATATTTCGTTCGACACTTAAATTCATGGGTAACCCATGAATAAAAGTACTTTCACAGTAATTTCATTATTTTCATACATGTATGAAATATTCAGAGGAGACATTTAGGTGAGATGCGGTAGTGACATGATTATTTAATATATTGACACTCTGTTGAGCCCACAGCCTTGAATGAAGAATAGTTTATAATTTCATTTTCAGAACTTTCTCATAGTGTTTACTTCATACCACTACCATGTAGTCAGCTACTTTATCGGCGAATTGGAACACAAAACGAGTTGCGAATTTTAAAATTTGTTCTTACTGCTTAGGCGTATTACCCACCCTTTTATAAATTTCTAAATGCGAATATCCGCAATACCCGTCATTTATTCAAAAAAGAATTAGGGGCCTTATTGTACTAAATAGGACGAAACAGCAACTTAATCTATCTAACATCATTCGTTGCAATTTATTATCATTTTTGATCGAGGACGATACTTTGTTGTTTCTTTTTAGATAGTTCACAACCTCTTGTCCCTGAACAATGAAATTACATGACCAAAGGAGTCATATCTAAACTTCAATCTTTCACAGTCTCATGTTCATGATGTTGAAGGAACATTATTTTCCATACTATATAATTCAAAATTAACTTATGCTAGGTTTCCTCTACGTACAAGAAATAATAGGTGGTTCTATGTTAAGCAACAATGTAACGTCCCATACTGAAAATATTCTTTACCAATGACATTTTCCAAAACAAAATACCTAACTGAACACCAAGTGGCCACTATATAAAGTGCATTTAGAGATAATGCAAATGTATATTACAAATCAGCTTTCTGGTTGTACATTTCCTCCAATGCTGTCCGTACTTTGTTACACGCTCAATATAAAATATACAACGTATCGAAGAGAAACTCATGTAATCAAACCATGACAATGAAAAGAAGTATCCGGAGAACAGACGATTACTACACGTGTAATGATAATTACAAACGACAAACGAAGTGTAGAGGTTTATCAATCTAATTGTCCAAAGCAATGAGATATATTTGTATTGAAGTAAAAAACAACATACCCCCAAGATCAATAACAATGAATTTCATCCCTGGTGTTATTAGCGGAAGGAACTTGTTCTCTCTTCTATCAAAATCCAGTCTCGGTTCGTGACAGTATATAGATGAGGCTTCTGGTTCGAGTGCTAAGATCAACTGATCATTATCTATTCCGGCCTGAAATGAATATTAAAAGTTTTATAAAAGCATATAATTTCAGCATTATATTTAAAAGTACAATTCTACCGTGACTTCGCCTTCCTTGCAGAAGGACCCTTACAACGAGGTGCACATTAATGAAACAAATCTTCCATAAGCGTAGTCAAACTTCTGAACCTCCACAATAAAAGATACATATTTTTTTTAAGTATAAAAATAAGAAGATGTGGTATTTATGCCCATGAGACAACTCTTCGCAAGAGACCAAATGACACAATACAATAAGAGAAATAGGACATTAATATAATGGAATCTTTTGACAGCTCTCTTACAAGTGAAAAACCCTACATGAAAATATATAAAGGCATAAAATTGTTTGAGGTTTTGATTTGCCATTTTATAAAAGACTTTCAGTTTTGAATTTCCCTTGGAGCTCGGTATTTTTGTTTTTTTTACTTTTTAGTAGGATAATAGAATACATTAATGAAATTGGTTTTAAGGAACGCACCACTGATTTCATCACTTACTCTAGGTGTACATTCTTAATGTGAAAGACACTAAGTGGCACAAACCTCATTATGCAATCTCATCTTAAACCGTCGGAAATAGTAAAAATCCTCTATTTTTTCATCAGGGATGATATTTTGTGTGTATTTGTTATTAGCTTCATATCCGAAAGCTACAAATCCTTTTGTTTGTTCAGCAGCACAGACGTGGGTGTCTTGCTTGTAGTCAAATCGCCATCTTTTCATTTGCATATGTAAAAAGACATTTGTTCGACTCTGGCAGAAAAGGCGAAGCCAGAATAAGTTGTCCCAATGTCTAATGACGCTACAAAAGGATGTGGCACTTCCATCAACCTGCCGTAGAAACTTGATGATTTAACGTTTGTTAAGCCATTCAAAGTAAATACGACTTGCATTTTATCAAAGACTTTGTATTATAAAACGGATATCCAAATTACAAAAAGTCCAAAAGAAACTAGTAACCATAAATGTACTCGTTATAGCATGTCAGCATTTCGTTTGAATTTTAAACAAGACGCCATCTAATTAATCATTGAAATTACCTCCGATATAAATATAAATACACAGACGAGCAAAATCAATCGTATAAGGATTGTTTTTCTAGGATTGATTTTCTAGGCTTGTTTCATTTCATGTCATAGATTAAAAAAAAATCATCGTTTTACCTGTATAAATATAATTGTTTGTGGGTCAAATAAGTCAGCGAAATGGTCCTCCCGGTGTCTCCATTGTCTTACTTTCAATATTGACATTCTTTTCTATTTAATAACTGAACATGATTTGCACATGTGCAACCCTTCTCTAGTTTAATTGAAGGTGGCATGAAAACGGCTTCAAATTTGATTGAATTATTGACTTGCAAGCCAATCATGTATTAACTATGTTTTTGAGCTAATTCTTACAAAATCGAACCAAACGGACTGCTGATAGCAAAATATTATTTCAAAATAATGGTTTTTAAATGTTTGAAACAAAAAACAAAACAATAATCATATTTTAATTGTTAGTCTTAATCGTAGCTAATGCCCCTTTAATTAATGTCCTACCATAGTGTTGATGATTGCTTTCTGTCACATTAATCACTGTGCATGTTTAACTTATGATTGATAATAATATGTTATATATTTGATTGGTCAGAAGCGCTTTAATGCACTTTGCTTCACCAGGTTCGCTAAAATTTTAGAAAATGTTTGTATTGTTGCCTATGAAAGAATAAATACTACGGTTTTCCCTTTAATACATTTTAAAATTGAGAATGGAAATAGGGAATGTGTCAAAGAGACATCAACCCGACTAAAGAGCAGATAACAGACGAAGGCCACCAATAGGTCTTCAACACAGCTGCAAAATCCCGCACCCGGAGGCGGGCTTCAATTGTCCCTTAACAATATGTACTAGTTCAGTAAAACTGGACGTCATACTAAACTAAAAAAACATATAAATGAACTAAAATAAAAAATCATACAAGACAAACAAAGGTCAGAGGCTCCTGACTTGGGACAGGCACAAAAATGCGACGGGGTTAAACATTGTAAGTGAGATTTCAACCCTCCCCCTATACCTCTACCCAGGTATATATGTATATATAATTAAAGATCAAGGGCGGATTCATGAGAGGGCCGCATCCGTTGTGTCTCGTCACTGCTGACATATGCATAGCCTCTCATTGTTGTCAATATGATAAAAAATATATGCGACTGTAATTCAAGTAAGACGTTCAGTTCGCTATAAAACCAGGTGAAATCCAACATTTTTTACATAAGAGAATGCCTGTATTTTACTTTTACGAATACTGATATATGTTAAGGGGTCTGGCCATAGATGAATGCATTAAGAATCATGATAAATTAAAAGAGGCTTTAGAGTGAGCATTAATAAGACTGATCATTGGAAAAAAGGTTTGATGTTTGCATTAGTAAGACTGATAAACTGACTCCAGCAATTCTTTAAAGACATAGGTCTAAGAACAGTTACAATATGTAATGTTCTTTCACCATTTCTACTGACCTCTTAAAGATCAAAATGATAAATACTTTTATAACTTTTATAAATATCTGTAAATATTCCTATTTTATCTATAGTTATGAAATGTATGTGGCAGCTGTGTATGATACACTGCACATTATCATTTGAACAAATAATTTGTATAGCGAATTTTGTCAATACAGAATATATAGATAATGAAACATAAAATAACTGGTATAGTTATACATAAATACGTAATTAGTTTTGTTTTAATTTATAACAAAAAATGTATATGTGTGTTACATTGTATAGCTCTATAAATATATTTACAATATACCACAGCACTAAACTATTTATGTAGATATGTAAAACACATCGCTTTCTCCATTTACCTGTGTAAAGAATGTAACAGAATCTGATCTTTTTGGTCTTTTTATAGATAATGATCAGCATTTTGTAGTAGCTGCGAAAAATTCAATACCAAATCATACAATATTTCTTCGTGGTATTAACGATTTCCTTAAGTTGATAAATCTCTGTAATATTAAAATCAAGTCAAGAAAACCGAACAATCTTTATGTCTGTACATATATGATATGCATGAGAAAGTATTTGAAAACAACCTTTCAGTGTATATGCAACTCTATTTTCACTGTCTTACTTTCTGAAAAGTGTTTTAAAAGTAAACAAATCGGTATAGAAATATTTCTATTACTTTTAACACAATTATACATATATATATTCCAATGAAAGATTAAAAGTAAAGAAATGTTTTTATTACTTTCAAACAAATTATATTTATATATATATTCCAATGTAAGGTATTTTTTTTATGTATATATACTAGCAACTCACAAAGAATTTCACCTTTTTTGTATATGTTTTTAATTTTGTCTCTAATCTCTATAGTTGTAAATAGCTGTATGTTTTTTTTTTTTCGCTTTTCAATTCATCATCGGAAACTTTAGCCTGTGCCGGGTCGGAAGTGTGGCAGTTGTTATTCATTCGTTTGATATGTTTGGGCTTTTGATTTTGCCGTTTGACTACGGACTTTCCGTTTTGAGTATTCCTCGGAGTTTGATATTTTTTTTGTTTTACTTTTTAAAATAGAAACAGCCATATCGCGTAATCTATTACACATACGTTCTTTAAATTGTCAGGGAATGAGAAAATTTGAAAAAAAGAATCAGTATAAAAGAATGGATGAGACAACAGAAATAGAATATTATATGTTTAGAAGAGACTTTTTTTTGGAGAATTCTTTAGATAAAAATTCACGGGAGAATTATATCATTTTGGAAGTACACAATCAAGGGGTGTTTCGATATATATTTTATTAACAAAATAAGTAAACATGAAATATTGCATACTTAGATCAAGACGGAAGAATTGTTTAAAACAACATAAATATGGATAAAAATATAATATTTAGGTTTGTAAACTTTTACGCACAAAACACATGTAAAGATAAAAAAATATTCTTTAAAAATCGTTTTAGGTGTCATTGAAAAATATAATCTTGGTATAATTATTATAGAGGGTGATATGAATGAAACCCGTAATATAAAGGATAGTAACAGTAATATAAAAGATAGACAAAAAATAAAAAATAATTCAAATGGGCAGAAAACTTTGATAAAAAAAATGAAAATTATAGACATTTGGTAAGTAATATATCCAAATAAAACACAATATATCTGGAGAAAAAAAAACAATGAAGAAGCTAGAATTAATTATTTTTTTTGTTAGTCAAGACGTGAGACCTAGGGTAAATCACACTGATATAAGACCCTCTACAATTTAGAATATTTTAGAGATTTCTATTCAAAATAACATGTCAGGTGGAGAGAGGAAAGGGATAGTTCAAATTTAACAAAAGTATTCTTAAAGACGATTCATACAAAATGAAAATGAATGCTTTAATAGATATATATAGAAAATTAAGAAACCGAAAAATCTTAGCATTCATGTGTTATGATTAAAACATTGACATTTTTATCTATTATATCTGTTTGTTTTGTTCACGCATCGTTGTCAATATAATGACTGTCATACAAGTTAGAGGTTTAGCCAGCTATAAAACCAGCATTTTCTACAAGTAAATGCCTGTACCAAGTCAGGAACATGACAGTTGCTGTCCTTTCGTTTGATGTGTTTCAGCTTTTGATTTTGCCATTTGATTAGAGACTTTTCCTTTTGAATTTTCCTCGGAGTTCAGTATTTTTGTGATTTTATTTTTTATTTATCAAATTTGGGATGATTCGAACTAGCGTTTAGTAACTGCGAGTAGTTAGGTCAGTACTAAGAAGTTTTTTGTCTTCTTGTTAGTTGTCTTGGAATTCGTGACGACGTGATGAGTCAAGTTGATTTTTGCAGTTTGTTTTTGAAGGTGAACTGTGACACCCCTGTCCAAGAATTAGGCGAGGATTGAGCGCCCACAAATATGTTTAAATCGTTACATACACTATGTGCCTGTTCAATAGTCACATGCCAGTGATTCAACTATTGTAACTGGTGATGTTCTAATATTCGTGATATTGTACCATTTTAAAACTCCGACAAGGAAGCGACTGGAGATATCAGATATGTTTATTGCAGAAAAAAGCAGTACATACTTCCAATTACACTCGCCAACTATTGTTAAGGTCAAAGTTTACAAAGTTGACAGAAATAATGTTCAAAACAACAGGTTACTTGATACGTACTCAAATATTTATTATCTGATTTGATAGCCAAGTATGTGTAAAAAACCAAAATATCGCAGTGTTATATGATCAAGAGGACATTGGAAGATTAGTCAATTCCATAAACGCGGTCAACTTTGCCTCCGGGAGTTGATATTGTTGCTACGTCAATCTTTAAAGACCCAAATGTTGCAAAAAACTTGTCCTACCTCCATGACAAATATGTTGTTGTCCTCGCAGATAAAGCCCCAAACATCGTTTTTGTGTGTAAATCTCATTACATAAACTGCTTCATAAATGAATTCACTTGGAAACTCAGCATATACCCCCACGACACCTACCAAATAGGAAATCCTGGATATTCATAGGTCTGTTCTTTGTTCCTTTGGAATTTCAACCAAAGATGAAGAACTGGATCTTCCATCACTGTATTGGATACCTAAACTACATAAGTGACTTTACAAATAACGGTATATTGCTCCACGAAACGTCTTTCTAAATTATTAACATCAGTTTTGTCAGCAATCAAAGCCGGCTTCAAAGTTATTGTGAAACTGCCTATTCTAGAGGTGGCGTGAATCAGATGTGGATACTAAAAAAATCCAAAGATCTTTTAAAGTACATACAATCTAAGACTCTTTCATCTTGCAATAGTATTAAAACATTTGACTTTTCTACACTTTACACAATTATTCCCCATTCCAAACTAAAAGATAAATTAAAAGAGTTGGTATTGCTTTGTTTCATAAAAAAGAATGACCAACGTAGATACAAGTATCTTGTCTTAGGGAGGAATAAATCTTACTTTGTAAAAAATCACCCTGATTCAAACAAAAAATTCTCTGAAACTGACATTATCAAGATGCTTGATTTATTGATTGACAACATATTTGTTACGTTTGCAGGACGTGTTTTTCAACAAACTATTGGCATTCCCATGAGTACCAAGTGTGTCCTTCTTCTTGCCGACTTGTTTCTTCATTCTTATGAGGCTGACCTCATAAAGGAATTTCTTAGGAAGAAAGAAAAGAAGTTAGCAATATCCTTTAACTTCACTTTCCGCTATATAGATGATGTTTTCTTACTAAATAATTCAAACTTTGGTGACTATGTTGAACGCATCTATCCCATCGAACTAGAGATAAAGGATACAACAGATACAGTTAAGTGTGCCTCATATCTTGACATCTATAAATTGACAATGAGGGTCGGTTAAAAACAAAACTTTACGACAAAAGAGATGATTTCAGCTTTCCAACTGTGAACTTTCCATTTCTATGTAGCAACAATCCAGCAGCGCCTGAATACGGAGTATATATCTCCCAATTGATACGATATTCCCGGGCTTGCATTTCCTATCATGATTTCCTTGATAGAGGGTTACTGCTCACACGGAAGCTATTAAACCAAGAGTTCCAAATGGTGAAGTTGTAATCATCCCTTTGTAAATTTTACGGACGCCATCACGAGTTGGTTGACCGTTATGGAATATCCGTTTCACAGATGATATCGGATAAGTTCCTTATGTCGTTACTACAATCCCGTTCCCTTTTCACGAATGTGACCTACCGAATTAGACCATTTACCGGATATGTAATAACATAATCAACACGACGGGTGCCACATGTGGAGCAGGATCTGCTTACCCTTCCGCAGCACCTGAGATCACCCCTAATTTTTGGTGGTGTTCGTGTTTTTTAGTCTTTAGTTTTCTATGTTGTGCTTTTTGTACTATTATTTGTCTGTTTGTCTATTTCTTTTTTTAGCCATGGCGTTGTCAGTTTGTTTTCGATCTGTGAGTTTGAATGAACCTCTGGTATCTTTCGCCCCTTTTTGTCCCATCTTAACAATTTCTAAATATCTGAAAAAAAATGGAAAGTAATGTTTAATCCTGGTATTTCCGGAACACTGACCTCTGCGCTGATGATATCCTTGTCAACATGTAATGATGTTGACCCTGTGCTAGAAAAAAATTAACACTCGAGAATCTTATGGCATTTAAAGCGCTTTTCGTGATTTATCTAAGCAAAATTGTGAAGTCACCGATGAATAATTGTTTCTCAAGGTGATGAATTATATGACAAAAATAGAAAGGAATAGCCAAATTAAAAGAAAGGAAAAGTTTTGACTACGGGAAATGTAACTATGATTTAACATTTTCAGGTTAGGTTTTGCATATTGTTCTTCATATATCAAATGTTACTTTCTTATGTTTGCCGTTGACGCAATCCTTAATATTTTCATGATATTGCAATCTTCCTTAGAAATATTTATATGTATATGCAGTGTGCAACTCATTTGTTCTTTTTAAACCATATAAATCAAGCAAATATAGGAATATTCCGTTCTCAAGTATACATAATGAATCGATGATTATACTTGGACTGATTTGCTTTGATTCATTAATAAATTATAATGTTAGCGTTGACGTTGTATGGGACATCACTGTTCTTACATACGCACTGTATACATGTTATATGTATCAAATGACATGTATATTGAAAGAGCAATATTTGCATTTATTTATGTTTAAGGACAATGGAAATAGCATGTATTAGGCTTAATATAAGTTATCATCTTGTCTTTTAGTGAAATTTCACTTACTAGTTATTAACAACATGTAGACATTTTAAAAAAAAGTCGGTTGACGGAAAAATATGTTTTACAAAATGTCTTCCCTAGTTTTATCTCAATTTATATTTTTCTTCAAAAATATATGATGCAAGTGCAAATGAACGACAACATTCCCTGCTTGCAAGTTGTCATTAGTTCGTTT